TTTTCTTGGCATATCTTTTAACTCCATCGAAGTTTCCTGCATCCGTGCACACCTTAATGGTACTCTGGTTGTTCACGAACAGCTTGCCAATTTGCTGGTTGAACCCCAGCTCCTTAAGCAGCTTCCTCGCCCAGATCGCATCCTCGGCACACAGACTCGTAGCAACCAAGTCCGACTTGCAAGTGTCGTCTGTAACCGACGGATGCATTCTACTCTTGAACCCAACACTGTACCCATTTAGCTTCACCACGTACCCCGAGACAGATCTCGAAGTATCCGGGCAATTCGCATGGTCAGCGTCGCTTGTAGCACCATACTTGCCTTCGATCCCTCCAGACAGTACACCAGCCCGTGAGTCCAAGTCCCCTGTAGGTAACGCAACACTCGCTTTGCAGCGGCGTAATTCTCTTTTGTGTAGCTCCCGCAGTATCGACTCAAACTCCTCACGGCATTCGAGATGTCCGGCCTCGTACAGGTTACCAGGTATTGCAGCGCTCCGATCAGCTCCTGGTACTTTATTGACTTGTCGTTGACCTTGCCTTCGTCCTTCTCGATCGGTAGCACCTTCTCGTTTTGCATCTGAGGTGATCTCACCGCCTTTGCGTTTTCCATCTGAAATCCTGTCAAGATCTTGTCAATGTAGGCAGTTTGAGATAGACACAGCATCACTCCTGGCTCGTAGTGCACTTCCATGCCCAACAGGTAATGCACGCGACCAAGATCCTTAATGACGAACTTGCTCTGCAGCTCATTCTTCACCAAGTCAATGTCCTCTCGTGCTCCAACGATCATCACATCGTCCACGTAAACGGTCACTAACACCAGCCTACCGTTGATCTTCTTAAAGTAAAGCCCCACATCGTACACACTTCGAGTGAACTTCAACTCAACTAAGTATCCATGTAAAGCCAGGTTCCACAACCTAGCAGCCTGCTTCAAACCGTAGATCCCTTTCAGTAAGAGACACACTCTGCCAGTATTGTCATTGAAAGGCTCTGGTTGCTCCACCGCATCGTCCTTTCCAAACCGTTCCTTGAAACCGTGTACCACCAACCTCGCCTTTAGTCGCTTCACAGCTCCATGTTCATCTCTTTTTACTCGAAAGACCCACCTTGTAGTCATGACCTTCACCGGCCTTCCATCCGAGTCAATCGGCCGCTCCACTAGCTTCCACGTGCCGTTCTTGACCAGTGAGTTGTACTCTGTCCTCAGTGCAGCTTCCCAAGCTTCCTTGTACGGCGAAGCCATCGCCTCCTCCAAGTTGTTCGGGTCACTAATGTCCTCTTCCACCAGCAACTGATACCCACTTAGCCTTGTGTTTGCTCGGCGTGTTCTTGTCGAATGTCTTGCTGGTTGTACGGGTCCACCAGTCGCAGCTTGTCCTCGACGTCCACGTCCTACCCACGTCCCCGTCGAGCTTGTACTGGCACTTGTACTTGCACTGGTTGAGCTTGTGCTGGTCTTGGTCCTGGTACTTGGGGTTGAGCTGGTCCTTGGCCTTGCCCACCTAATTGTAGTTCATTTTGGTCTTCTCCTTCAGACTTGTCACTATCTGAAGAAGTTTCAGCTCCTGAGCCGTTTACCGACATTGGTTCTGTAGTAAGCTCCTCAGATAAACTCCT